AGCCCGCGATTGTCCGCCGTTTCAACAGAGCGACACGATACGACACGGACGACCGCGTATCCCTCAAGAAAGCCACCCTTGATCAAGAGTCCCTTCGCGTCTTCGGCTTCGCCGACGCCTCCATCGCCAACAACCACGACCTGTCCACGCAGCTTGGCCATATTTGCTTCCTTGCTGATGGCCACGGCCGCTCCGTTCCGATCAGCTTCAAGTCGTACAAGTCCAAACGGGTTGTCCGCTCTGCCATGGCTGGAGAGGTCATCGCCTTCAGTGACCTGTTCGATATCGCTGCTACTCTCGCCTTTTAGCTCGCCGAGATCTATGGCAGTCGCATCCCGGTCCAGCTGCTCACGGATTCTAAGTCCCTCTTTGATGTGATTTCGAAGGGTTCTGGGACGTCAGAGAAGCGCATGATGTTGGATATCGCAGCTGCGCGAGAACGTTTCCGCGATAAGGTTATTTCAGACATTGCGTTTATTCGTAGCGCGAGTAACATCGCCGACGGCCTGACCAAGTCGATGTCTCAAGCTGCTCTACAAGCCGCTGTATCTACGGGCATGCTCTCGATTCAACTTGAGCAGTGGATCATTAGCAACTAAGTCTAAACGCCATTCCCTCTCCTCCGTAGCAGCTCGCTTTATTTCCGCTTCCTACCCCTTATCTCTCGTAGCTCTACCACTCGTAGCTTCTTTGCACTGTCACCTCCACATCTAGCAAGATTGTCAACTGAGAGCACAAGTGCTGTTCGTTCCTCGGAATCAATGATGACCCCATTGTGAGCATCCACCACGACGTCGTGATCCACCCGCTTCTCTTCCAGAATCCGCACGATGAATACTCCTGTGCGCCTCGCTGCAAGTACACGAAAGGGTGCTATCCTTTCGCCGTCCTGGATGGCCATCTGAACCTCCTCGTCACGCACTATGCAACAGCCTGTCATCGATTCTTGCGCCCTTTGAAAGAGTACTCCTAGATCCCTGAAGTTGCGTAATATCCGCGACTCCTTCTTTAGCACTTGCTCCAAAGCTTCCGCTGCCACGAGCCCACGGCAGGCGAACGCAGCGTTTATGACGGCCGCCTTCACACAGTCGTGCGTTCGGGAATTGCACCTCGGCTGCCCCGCGAGGTGGCGTCGGCTCGACGAGCGCCAAGCCACTCCCTCACGTGCGCCAATCCCAGACACCCGGACCACCACGCCCCGGTTCCGCCGCAGGAACTCTAGGACGTGTCTGGCAACCTCCTCCTCACGAAGCTGCCTTGAAGCAGCACTACGTCGGGCTGGCACGACGCACGGCGGCCAAGATTGGCTTCGCTCTGCAGTCCGCGACCCCAGCAACGGGTACGTCTGCAAGGATAGCTCACCTTCGCCAACCCCTTCGAGGATTCTAGCGTCCCACTCCACGGCGTGGAAGGCCTCCATCGGGGCAGTGCCCTGCGCACTCGCATGCGGCACGCCCGGCATTCCCCTGGCCCCACCACTAGCGGCTTCTCCTTCACCCACCACCATGGCCTCTACCAACCACCTCCCCGCGGCCTCATACACGGCAGTCGGTTTTGCAACCCCAGGCGGGGCACTCTGTACCACAGGAGGGGCGTCCCGCAGCTCAATCCTGAGTAGAGGTTCCGCCGCCCTAACGTCCGTGGAATCTTCGCTCAGCGGGGTCGAAGGCGTGTCACCGCGCAGCAATGCTGCGCGGGACGCAGCACTTCGAGATGATAAGGCGCCGGAAGATGACGAAGCTCGCGACGACGGAGGTCGCGGAGAGACAGCGATCGAAGACAACGAAGACCGCGACGAAAGCGAAGGCGCAGACTGTAGCCAGGAATACTTGTCCGACAGCGGTAGAGACGGAGCGCGAACCCACGGGTCGCGAGACGACTCGATGCGAGGCGGCACGACGCAAGGCGACACGAAGCGAGGCGAGGATACGCACGGTGGTGAGACGCGAGGCGTAGAGACGTGGGATGCTTGTGTAGGGCACGCCTGTACGCGGAAAGCTTGCTGGTGTGGCGTTTGTTAATGTTCTCGAAGACTACGGCGTCGACCCCCCCTGTGCTTCTGCTTCCGCTGTGGCGCCATCTCGTGTCAACTACGAGTGGTCCGACGCCCATCGGAGGGAGTCTCGCGCACGCGAATATATACTGGATGGCGTATTTACAAACTAGGTCTACGGGCGCGTGCTTACAGAACATGGGCTGTAGGCTTACCGTCCCCGCAGATGGTAAGCTTACATGGACCTATATGTACTACGCCCACGTCGGCGCTTGCTACACCCGGAGGTAGAACAATAAACAACTCGAGTAAGCAACTCTACGCTACTCTAGTCTGCGAAGGCACAAGCCGGAGCCCGTTCTGACCCCTGAAGGCGCAACGCCCGGATCACCCAACCTCCCTCTACTTCCCTTTTCATACTTTCCTTCCCCCCTTTTACCCGCGCGCCAATCCCGCTCTCTGATTGTACAGAGAGCAGCGCACGCGAATCACAAGGCCCCTTTCGACGACAGTCACAATTGACGCACGCCGCAATGCGCCGTGGCCGTTCAGTGAGGGGTCGCATAGGCAAAACTCAAGGAATGGAGGCACTCTAAGAGAGTGCAAAAGGCAGCGAACGCAAAGAGAAAGAGCGCAGAGGAACGGCAATCGCAGGACAAGAGGAGGGAAGAACGATAGGTACTTAACAGGGAAGCTAGAGTACCATAGTCTAAAGAGAAGAGTCCGGGCAGTGGGTAGAGCAGACCAAAACACGCCAGCCAAGTGCTGAATACATCGCAACGACCACGGACACGACCAGCCTTACTGTAGATAGAAGGGAGTCAGCCATACCAGCATACGATTTTTGTTGGTATGACAAGCAACGATTTAACAACAGCACCCTTGGTACGTACCCTTGGTACTGTAGTGGTCTACAGGCGTTTATCATACTAGGATTGTACAGTACAGGGGGGGTCGCGATATAGTGCCATATTTGTTAGTGTCAGCTCCGATATAGTGCTACCCTTCTGCGGGTGGCACGAATTTTGAGCCAAAAACGAAGGGTCTCCAGGGAGGCAGTTGGATGGACATGTGTACTGCCCGAGAGCCGCTGCCGCCGCAGAAAGATATTATGCAGTTGCCAACTCGAATAGAGACTATGGCGGAAAAAGGCAGGGTCGATGATGCAATTGGACATCTGCAAAAGTGTAGGCTGGCATTTATGGCTGCGAAAAAGGAGGAAGTCAATGCATCGGCTCGGCAGCTACTAATAACAGAAATGCTTGATTAGGCTTTGAGTCTGTAGTGAAGATACAAAGCATGAGTGATGGCGTCCTGCGAGCGGTCTTTCTGAGCAGTGAGGCAAGGAAGTGGCTGCAAAAAAGCCGTAAATCTCATTATCTAACAGTGCCTGGTTCGATATAGTGCCGTTTTCGGCCCACTGACACAGGGTAGCACTATATCGCGACCCCCCCTGTATAGCAGCTTTATCGGGGTCCAAATCACAGGTTTTTGACAAGATTGTACGGCATTTTTGGCACTGTGAGAGGCCCCCTCGCAACGGTCGGAGCGGAAAGCGGGTTTGGATCAAGCGAGTTTGGATCATTATGGTTTTGTTACGCTGTAACTTTCCTAATTCGTTTGGATTGGTGGCGCGGGCGCTGCGCGCGTTGATTGGTTTGCGCCGGGACGGAGGAGATGGAGGTGTTGACATCAACAACATGTGTTGACAGCTCCGGTGTCAGCAAGTTGCTGCAACAAGTTGTTGTTGTCGCGGGCGCGTGAGCCGCGGGGGCTTGCGGTTCGGCGAACTGGCGGCCGCACACGAGTACGCACTCGCGCGGCGGAGGAGCAAGTCGTCTCACATCGGAGGGCACCCGTGCGGGGCGCGCGCTGTGGGAGTTCAGGGAATTGCGGGAAAGAGAAAAAACAAAAAAGAGATTATTAAAGCGGCAATGGGCAGGCCTACGAGCGACCGTCCGAGGGTTTGCAACGTCCGTGAAGTCGGACAGCGTCCGCGAGGAGGCTTTCTGCTTGCCACTCTCAACTCTTCTTGCTCTCTCACATCCACACGCCCGTCGAGCAACTAGTACTTACAGTATACAATATCTGCATACTGTACCAAGGGTACATCAAACTATCCCGTTGCAGTAAAACAGAAAAATGCCACTTCCTACTCATCCACTTTCTTTTAACTGCATAAGTCTGACACCAACAACCCTTCGTAGGGCAGCACTCATAATTTTCCCACGCGCGGGGGCTGCTGCACACGAAGGGGGTCACGTGAGGCGGCGGGGCGTGCATGCGGGCGCGGGGGGGAATCCGGGGGGGCGACACGTGTTGCTTGACGGCGGGGCGGGAGGGGGGGGGCTCTGGCGAGGCGTCCCGCCTCCGCGCGCACGCAAGGCCGGCGCGGGGACAGGCTGTCGCTGCGGGCGAGCCGTGCGCGGCGGTTTGGCGCGAAGCGCAGTGATGATTTTCGGGGGTTTTTTGCCCGCACGCCGTCCGCGCGTTACACCCCCCCCCTACTCCTGGCAGG